AATACTAAGGGTGTGTCCAGTATGGAGGAAAATGTTTTCCATATGGATTTCTTACTTATTTCTAATGTTTGGTAGGCAAGCAAAACAATATTATTTCAAGAGTATTTTTATGTTATCTAGCAAAACACTATATGGGGTGAGAGATGTGGTGGAGAATGGGGCTTTGGGGGCGATGGAGGGGGAGGGGGGTGGGGGTGGGGGTGGGGGTGGGGGTGTTGGGTTGATGGGGAAGAGATAATGAACCTGCAATGCCACTTGCGTAACTTGTTTTCCCTATTTTGATGAAGTAAGTCATTTTTCTTATTTTAAAGAACTTGTTTTCCAAGAGAAAATATTTTGACCAACCAAACATGGGAATTGGAAAATATTTTCCTCCATACCAAACATATCCTAAGAGTTGAACAATTTATTCTCATCTGGGCCATTTGCCCATTAACTAAAAAAATCCTGCCCAATCTGTACTTGGTTCTTATCCTGCTAACCACATCTGAATTCCAATTATCTACTGTACATGCAGGGATTAGTTTTGCTGGTCATTCAAACATAAAAACAGCTACTGAGTTGAATTACATCCAAAAATTGCAACAGACATTGGTTTTAGAGCCTCACCAACAAGTCAGCAGCTGTGGCAAGTGTGTTCTCATTTTCCTGAGCTTTGGAGCTAACAAGAAACTTGCGAAATTCCTCATATGCCGTGAACTGAATAGCACCATGTGTAACCTGCTGAAGCAAAACAACAGATCAGTGCATTTCACCAATGAAGGGTTACATGACAGCATTAAAGTGGTTGTATATTGTTTAGACAATCTATCCAAAAAGTAAAATAAACTGAGGGTTAACTTCAAAAATTTACGTCAAGATAAGAACACATCCTTTTACAGAACGAAATTATGTGCATGAATTAGAGAAAATGTGATTCTAACCATAAATAGGCCTGGCATAAGTCCCTTGTAAAGTGCCCTCCATCCTTCTTCTTTAATTATGGTTCTTAAAGCATCTGAATCAATCCATAAACAACAAAGTTCATGTGAAGTTAATAAGTAGGATAGAAAATACAAAAGAGGCCAATTGGATAATCAAATCCAAATGTGCATGCACATACAAAAGAGAGCAGAAGTTGTAATAGAACCTCAGTAAACAAAAGGAGGATACAAAACTAAAGAAACTCAAAACTGCAGAAATAAAGGTAGAATTCTTATATAACATTACGATGGAAAGAAATGGTCCTAGAGTGCTCAAAGGTAGATAAATACACAATGAAAACTGACAAATTAATACAAGAGTGAAACGGACCATGAAACCCGGTGTATGGACGAATCTGATCAGGAGTCTGAAGTTGCAATCTTGTTTTCACAAGCCAAAGAGGGTTGGTACAAAAACAGACCTGAATGCCGACAAACACACCTTTTAAGATATGCCATAGTCTGCAATATTTGAGGTTTGTGCTTAAAGCTACTGAAGTAAGTACGGCACACATATTTTGTATACCTAAAGATTTTCATGTCAGAACAAGTCATCAATCTGTTGTCATCAAAACTGAAATAGTGGGGGATAAAGGTTATCCACAAAAAGATCAACACAATCAAAGTTGTGTGTCTATAAGATTCTCCAGTTCCCTTATTTAACTAACACCTAAGCACAGATATTCGCTTTTTTGCGTGTGTTGAAGTCTCAAAGAATAGTTTCACTATTCGACCTTGCCTGCCTTTCAGGATTTTATATTGGTAAGACTTCTAATTTCTAACAGCAGTAAAAGTAATGGATTCATCACCAGCAAGACAATTACAATGGCACCCCTAGAGCAAATAAAGAATCACAGCATCTAACTATCTGTCTTCGGCACTCCTGTCAAAAACTAGTCAATTGAATATGAACATATGAATACAAGAACTGCCCATTGTTCTTTCATTAAAGCATCAGAAATTTGACTACTGACCAGCGCTCCTGCTTCTGCAGCTGAAGCAAGGTGAAGGCCTGGACTCAGTTCCTCCCTGTTCCTCAGATACCTTTGCTTAGCCTTGCTATAGCTACAGAAGTAGATTCCAAGAAAATGTATGAGTCAGAAAAAGACGTGTTTCAAGCCTATAAATGTAAGTAATCAAAGAGAAAGCAACCTAATATGTGACTGCTTCCTACAAAGAGAACATTAGTCTTTTACAATCAATCTCATGTAAGAAATAATGACTGTTGCCTCTTAACTAACATGTTATGGATGTAGATGTACATTTCAGCACCCATAAATTCAGTATAAAAAACAGAAAAGTAAATAGCGTGTCAAGAAATTATTTTTCTTTTAATTAATAGGTAAATGGATTATGTTAGCAGAATAATACTAACAGCTTGTCAATCATTAAAATTGACTATACAAGATCCTAGTGAAACAATCAATCCACTCACTGAAAGACCTAATGGGATCTTCCGATGTAGTATCATTTCTAAGAGCAATGGATTTCATACGTATAATAAGAAGCTCTATCAATCAAGATTTGTTCTTTTCGATGTTGAAATGTTGTTGTCTCCTTTTTATTGCCTTACAAAGGTAACCCAAACAAATATAATAAAATAGGCCAAAACTGAAAAGGGGAAACCCCATCAGGTATTGAACGAGTCTAAATCTGTTTCACATACTCATAAACACAAGTTGCATAGAGCAAAATCTTCAGAAGAGAGAAAAAGGAAAGGACACTGAGAGTAGCCTTCTGGAAACAGAACATGTTACTTACAAGAACATTATCAACAAAAGGAAAAGATGTTACTTACAAGAAAAAATATAAACCCCATGAAATAGTTGACCCAAGAACAGCAGGGTAAAAACCAGCATAAAGTCCTCTAAAACCCTGATGCAAAGACAATATGATAACTAATTAGTCAATTTAATGGAAACATGAAGTCGTATATGAGCGGTAAGGTAAGCATTCAACAGTCTACAGCAAGGAAAGGAGCTTCATCTTCAAAAGCATATGTCAGTGGAATGTTTGATTGTGATTGACAAAGTGTGATGGAGTTTCTTGCTATGACTATGTTATGAAACTGACTGAATCAATTTTCCTGTGAAAACAGGTAAATGGAACAGAAAAGCCCCCGGTCAAGATCTGGAGTAGAACCGGTGTGTCCAAGCAGGTCATGCACCACTGTGATAGTAAGCTGGTGCAAGCACCACTGTGATAGATAACTGACATCTCACTCCACTCTTGACATTCAAATAAAGGACCTAACCATATTTATAAGAAATCAAATAACCTATCTTTCCTGTTAGAGTAGCCATATACAAACTCTACTAGGATACACTTGCTCTCAATTTTTCCAAGAAGATTCCTGAGGGAGAAAATGGAACTGTTACAGTGGATTGGATATCATAATGTGGGGAATTCACAAAACAACCATAAAACTCCATAGGTATCCATTGTACCCTATTTTGCTCGGACTCTTCAAAAATGCCAACGTGTGCGTGTCGGATTCGCCAAAAGTAGTGTATTTTTGAAGAATTCGAGACGGGCGCGGGATCAAAAGTGAAGAGTTCGCGCAACTAAGATTGTACCTAGTCCAGGAGAACATGACCACATATATCCTTAGAAGAGTATTTACAGCAATTTGCCATTTAGAAACACCAAGGTCAGGATATCCCCTCAACATTAAACCAAGTGTCCTTCCCTGATAGAGGATGGAACATATCTTGTTAAACACTGTTGCTTATGCATTTTTCCTGAAGCTGATATTACCTATTTCAGAAACTCAAAGTTCATAAAACATGCATCCTTAACATATTAGTAAATGATTTGTCTTTCACCAGAGATACTAACTATACGAATTGAAAAGCAACTTCTTTATCGAATCATGAACTAGAGGGTGAGTTTTGGAATAGTAGCAGCTAGCAGTGCATATGTAGATAAGCTTCAGTATTTGCAGAAATTGGAAAGATTTAGAAAAACAAACCTCACTTCGAGCAATGGCATATAAAGCGTGAGGTGTGTTCCTATAGGCAGGGACATTGGAAATTCTTCCATCGTAAACTGCGATTAACATTTACAACAAATCAAGCTCCAAGGAAAGGAAACAACACGAGATCATTAATTTGCAATAGCGGGAAAGAGTATGACACACTTACCCTGGAACCTGGTACGAACAACGTCAAGTGGATGAGAGAAAGTGACAGTGGCGAGACCCGCGGCGGCGCCGGCGACGGCATTTTCCCATTGCCAGTCTGCCGACGGCAAAGCTGCCATTTTTTTCATGGCCCCGTCTACCGCTGGCTTTCCTTTACACCGTTTACTTTAATGAGAGGGACCTTCCTACGCAAACGAAGCGGTGTCGTATTGACCTGCTGGTGAACGCCCGACATGTCCGCAGCTTGCGCCTGCAACAGTAATTGTGGAAAATTTGAAACAGCCTTTTCTCAATTTGTGTTAGGCGTATAATTATTTTTTTCGAATAAACTAGGATATATAAATAATTTTTTTCGAATATAACGCCAATTTTGTGTTTGTAAAGTCAAGGTTGGTAATAATTTTCTTTCGGACATGTTAAAATGTCAATTTATGCATTATTAAGAAAATACAACAGGTAGGTATATTGTAACATATAGTGCTTTGTATCGAATTTTTCTTGACAATGTAATTTTTACTCCAATGATAGTAGTGCAAATAAGAGGACAAAGGGGTGAGACTTAAAAAGACTCTGAGATCCGATAGATTTGAATATGAAAGAGTGAAATTAAATAGTTGGACTTTTATTGTGATTTAGTATAGGCCTGCCGCCTTTGTATGTATATGTTGTGCTTTTAACTTATTTTTTTTAGTCTATAGTTTAGATGTGCTCATGCCTAACTATTTCTTTTTTAACTTCAGGTCTGCACCCAGTTATGTTTTCTCACTGATTTTAATTAATGAGTATAATAGTTGTAGCTCCTACTGGCTTGGTACAATGTTAAATGAAGGTGCTAAGAAGTAAGATTTGCAGGTTTCCAGGCTTCTGGTTGACAATTTCAAACAAAGGGCAAAGTGTTTAAGACGATGTCTATGAACCCAGGGATTCATGTTTATTACACAAAAATACAGTAAAACAACTCGAAAGGTGGTCTAAGAATGGACACCAGCAGTGAAATCCTCAAAGACCAAAAAAAGAGCTAGAAGATTGTTGGAAAAAGAACAAAAGTATAAAATACATAACGAATTCATAATACAGGCACAATCATTGAGGTAATGTTCTCTCCAAGATAACAAGTTGTGCTCTTTTAAGATGAGTTGATCTTCCTGCAAGTCTTCCTGATTTCCCCACTGGAACCTGTCAAAGGAGATATGTTCCCCATCTTCACCATAGACTTGGCGAAGTGGTCGAAAAAAAGTGCATTGTCTTCTGCATATTGCTTCACCAAGGCTAATGATGCTTGACTTTTAGTAGTAAGAACTTGGTCAGAGTTCAGCAGGCCCTTTGAAGCCAACAAGAGCTTGAAGTAGCTGTTGTCAAATTTTGTGGGGGAAACAAAGTCCAAGAAGAATAAGTTCTGGTCACCACCAGATTTTGGACACCTATTGCGCAATTGGGTAGCATATGATTGATCCAGAGTTGAGTCTGGTTTATTATTTCCTGACTGGTTGTAGAGCCTTTGTCTAAAGCTGGTACATCTTGAATTTCCAATGGTGTGACTCCCTGCATCATAATTCATCGGTGTGAACAATGATTTCACATGTGATAACTAGTCTGACAATAAATTAAGCAATGTCAAGGAAACAGCAACATTTACCAGACAAAGCTACAAGGTCAACAAGATCAAGTCCTTGTCTCTTGAACTTTGAGAGAATGGAATCAAATGTGTTGTTTGGAGCAGGAATGTTGTTGTTGGAGCCACTTAAACTGGCGCTTCTAGAGTCTCTCCTGCCCAATGGAACCTCCCAGCTCGGTCCTCCAGCCTGTATAAATGAAAAAAGTAAGCTCATGTTTTATTCATTATTAAGGAGATACCCTGATCAAACTATATAGCCGTGGAAGTACTTACCAATACAGTAGAATCCCTAGCAGCAAGTGCCAAGATATCAGCGCAAGAAACAGTTTGAGGACATTCCTTCTCCAGTGCAGATTTAATCTCGTCAAGGACTTCGAATCCACGAGCTGAATTCTTGTTGGGGTTTGATCCTTTTTCTGTCACAATACCTCTGCTACTATCCAGAAGCAAAGATGCATCACATCCCTGCGTCACATAGTGAAACAATAACTAGCCATCAGTTTTCACTTTCTGATACGCAATAATTAAGAAGTACAAAGCTGCAAAAGCCAAAAGAAAAAAAAGGCTATATTTTGTGTATACTGTCAGTGCAAAAGCAACATTTAGCGAGTCTATTCTTGCATGCTAGTGCACTCACTGTTCACAAAGTTTCCAACTTGTAATTACTTACTGCCATGTAGAAATTGTCCCGACACAAGTTATTATATTACATGTACATTTAACACGGTACGTCAATGGACTCAAAAGTTATTATACTTAAGTGTCATAAATATTTAGTGACAGGAAATATATATGATTTACCTTGACAAAACAGTCGTGGAAATGGAGCCTCAACAGAGAAGCAGCCATTCGGGCTTCTTTGGCAACAGCCTTGGCAACTACAGACTTGACAATTTGTTGCGCTTGTGGGCATGACTTATAGTAGTATTGCGGGTATAGGTTATCATTGTTACTCTTAAAAGAGAAACAAATTGGTGCAAAAGAAAGCAGAGTAATGAAAATGAAGAAGCTCATGGACGGAGCCATCTTGAAGTTAAAAGGACTTGGATTTAAAAGAAATTTAATTTGATTAATGCTGAGGAACACTAGCTTTTGCTGTGATGAATTTGACATGAAGTTCACGAGTTTATATAGTGCTTTCCGTGAAAGAAGTTTTACAATGGACAAGTAAATAAATGGAGTTGGTAGCCTTTTAGTTGGGATAAAATACCCAAATATAATTATGCATGATTTTAATTTGCCAATCCAAGAAGACTTATGCTCTACAAGTAAATGATGATTGATTTGGTCCATAATAGACAAAAGACTTCACCAGCTACGTAAATTTTCTCACATTAACTCAATTGTTATGGAGGTTGATTAGACTCTATCTTACACATTACTAACTACTACTTGTTGACTTAGTTATTTTCGAGCCTTTTGTAAAGTTGATGAGGTTGGAATTAAAAGTGAAAAGAATCCAGGCTTCTTAAACAAATAGGTCTTGGGAGACGATTGTCAAAGTTCATCTATTTGTCAATCGATTTGAATATAATAATAGTCCTCCCCTAACCAATACAAAACTTAATAAATTGTACTCAGCTATCATGCTACAGAGGAAAATCTTTACTAGTAATACTAAAATATTAAGCATGAGAGAATGACCTGATCTGGTCAGCCCCACACGCCTTTAATTGCTCAAGGCATGAAATATATCAAGAGTTTATATAATATTTTAATACACCTGCTTTCTTGACAAACAGAGCCTCAACATTATTTGTCTTTGATTACTCCATGTTATTAGAAAAGTATGTATCTGATGATTGTTTTCCTTTATTTTTATCCTCTTTTCAATTTTAGGAAAATATTGTTGAACTTAACAATTCATTAATAACTCAGGTAAGCAAATAGCTATATCCAACATTTATAATATACGTAGTTTGAATCACACCTGCTCTATACATGAAATAATTCAGCTTTTCCGCTATGTATTGCGAAAGAATTAGCTTTGTAAAACATATCAAAGTTGGAAATCTTAAATACATATATAGTCTAAACAAAACTTGAGAAAAAAATCATTATGTCAAACAAGATAAATGCTATGACTAGTATAATTTGTTGTATGTATGTTCTCATGCGTTACATAAGCACAGCAGTCTAAGGCTTAAGCTGATCCACAAATGGCTTAGTGAATGTGAAGATTAGGTGAATCCAAACGAATGGACAAAAAAATATTCAGGTAAAAGGGGTTAGGGGAACTGCTCTGCTACTATTTTCAAACATGAACAGAATAGGATTTCTGCTTTGAAAAAAACAGTTTTTAGTCGCATCAGCAGAATTAATTAATGATTGGCTATATCAAATATTTGCAGGCGAGGAAAGGATCAAAATAGTCTCTTTTCTTTGTGTTAAGATTCAAAGTGATCTTGAGTTTTCACATGGAATACTAATAGTCCCTCATGTTTGCAATATTGATGCACTTCTGGTCCTCCTCCAAAATTTTACCTATTTTTAACTGATTTTATTTATAACCTATGTATGAGATTTTCAATAATCATTTTATCTATTTAGTAGAAATAACAACTCCATATGAAAGAATGTGAGAAGAAAAACACTTTGTTTTGTTTAGTAGAAATCGTATTGCGGGTAAAGTCGAGAGGTTTATTAAGATAATTTCACGTGCAATAGTACAATTTTTTCTTTTTTTTGCAAATTCATACGTTAAGATGTTTTTAGTTTAGATGCAGTAATATTTTTAGTGAACAAAATAACGTGTTTTTCTTATCACCTTCTTTCAAATAGAATTATTATTTCTATTATATATATATATATATATATATATATATATATATATATATATATATATATATATAAAGATGATTGGACATTCCTTATATAAAATTTTGAATAAAATTAATGTTAAAAAATAGGTAAATTTTTACGTGAGAATCAAAAGTGCACTATATTGCAAACATGAGGAATTATTAGTGTTTCATTTGAAAACTCAAGGATCACGCTCAAAGATGAGGGACTATTTTGAGTTTTTCCTCATTTGCAGGCGCCCCAAGTCGCTCAGATGTATTTCCAACTTAATTAGGGCCGTGGACCTATGTATTGCCTTAGGTTGAGCAGTGGTTCTAATTCTACCATCATGTTTTAAATGAATTGAGACTTACAGGCATCAACCTGTGTCTGAGCTCCAAGCCTGGACCGCTAATCTCCACTAAGTAATTAAGATCAAATGGCCTATTACAACTGTACAACAATAATCCTAAGGTAATCCAGGTTGGTCACAGCCCGTGTACATGAATTAATCCTCTCTATTTGGAGCCTGTCACATTATAAATAAGAGGTAAAAACAATTATTTTGAGACAAAAACATTTTTTTGTTAAAAAAATTAGGGTGTTTAATTGAGATTTGGTTTATCATTTCCTCGAGTGCATATTTAGATATGTGACACTTATCATATTTATAATTTAAAAAAGCTTAAAATTTAGATTAAGTTAAATTAATAGCCTCTTAAGATAAATTAGAAAAAGAAATCACCAACTTTAGTTAGAAAAATATCATCTTTCACTCATTTTGACTCGTCTCTAATATCATTATCTTTTTATAATATATCTCCTACCTCTGCATTGATATCATTTTCCTAATCTAAAGTTAAAGAATATCCTTCATTTTTAAATTTTTTTTTTTATAACTGACCGCAAAATAATCATGTCATCATATATTGTTATAAGTGAAAAGTTTCTAACGTAAAAATTAAATTACCATTCTATTTTTATTTTATTCTTAAATTAATATAAATATTAATATATAATTAATTTAATATTAAATAATAATTTTATTTAAATTCATGCATTTAGTATATATATATATACTAAATTAAAATATCTAATTATTTAACTACTAAGTAATAATTATATTATATTATCCTAAATACAAAAAATAAGAAAGTGTAAAGTCAAACTTTGAAAGATAAAAATATTTCATAGAAAATTATTAGAAATTATTTCATATAAAGTTGTTAGGAATTTTTTTTAAAAAAAATATAAAAACACTTTATCTAATTCTTTTAAGAACGGTAATGTCTAAATGGATTAAACTTCTTAATTAGATAAAGCGTTTTTATATAAAAAAAAAAATAGATAATTAAAGTGTTTATCCTTTATTTTTTATATATAATTAGTGTGAACAAATTGATTAAATTTATTATCCTTTCTATATAATTAGTGTAATATATTGAATTATTAGTAAAAACAATCAATCTTTCCTCTCTGTATATCTAAGATCACTAGCTTCAGAAAATTAATGTAAATAACTTTTCACTTTTTCATCTTATTCTATAAATTTTTAGCTATATATATATGTATCATAAAAAAATAATTTCTCTTTACGAATTCTTTCATGTGTGAATCATTAAGTAATTTTCGAAGTTTTTTTTAAAAAATATTAATATTTATTTTGCGGTTCAAGAAAATATGTCAGCCAACCAAAAAAAGGAACACGGGGACAAAAATTCTGAGCAAACACTTGAGTGTATATGTACGCATTTGGTCTAGTTAAGAGAAAAAGAGGAGACCAACTTTATTTTTAAAAACAGAAATTATTCTAAAATATTTTACAATTATTTTTATACAATAGCTTCTTTTCTCTCCATTTTCTTTTCATTTTTGGTATAATTTATTTGCCAAATACTTAGATTTTTTTTTTCTGTCAAAGGTAGTTTACAAGATTTCAATTAAAAAAAATATAATGGTATATGTTAACATTAATTTAGAAAATATGATCGAAATTTTTTTAATACTAATTTTTTAGAGGTTACTTTTGTGTATTTTGTATCTTCTATGTATTTTCTTTATTAAGGTTATTCTTATTTCAATTGATTAAATTTTTAAATAAGATCAAAATTATATCAACAAGAAATAAAATATAATTAAATTGATGACATACATAAAGAGTCAAAATTAGTGGAAGATGAAAATTTTCTTACCAAAGTTAGTGAGTGTTTTCTTGATTTGTTCTTTAATTATGATTAAGAGGCTTGTTAATAGTATAATATTTTCGCTAATTTGGTCTGAAGGTATTAGAATATTACTATATGTCGTTACTGTGTTATCGTATATTCGTGCTCTTTTGACTTCATATCTATACCAACTTATGTTTGCCTACTAATTAAGTATAAAAATATGTGTAGATTTTGTTTGTTGGTTCCAATTAATTCACTTTGTCCTGTGATGAAATGAAGTGTGAAAGCAGCTATAAATAAGATCCACGAATAGTATAGATTCATGATAAACAACGATACGAGAGATGTGATTGTCGAGGACAAGGACGAAAAATGAAACAATGGAAAAGATACATAACATAACAGCACAATTATTGAATCAGTTTCTGCAAATGAAAGTTGATGTGCTCTCTTATGATGAGTTGATCTTCCTGCAAGTCTTCCTGATTTCTCCACTGGAACCTGTCAAAGGAGAAATGTTCCCCATCTTTACCATAGACTTGGCGAAGTGGTCGAAGAAAAGTGCATTGTTCTCTGCATATTGCTTCACCAAGGCTAATGATTCTCGACTCTTAGTAGTAAGAACTTGGTCAGAATTCAACAGACCCTTTGAAGCCAACAAGAGCTTGAAGTAGCTGTTATCAAATTTTGTTGGGGAAACAAAGTCCAAGAAGAATAAGTTTTGGTCACCACCAGATTTTGGGCATCTATTGCGCAATTGGGCAGCATATGATTCATCCAGAGTTGAGTCTGGTTTATTATTTCCTGACTGGTTGTAGAGCCTTTGTCTGAAGCTGGTACATCTTGAATTTCCAATTGTGTGGCTTCCTGCATTACAACTTATCGGTGTTAACTATGATTTCATGTCTGATAACTAGTCTGGCTAAAAATTCAGCAATGTCAAGGAAAGAACTTAGAAGGAAAGAGCAATCCAACAGGAAAAAAAAAAAAGAGTAACACTTACCGGACAAAGCTATAAGGTCAACAAGATCAAGTCCTTGTCTCTTGAACTTTGAGAGAATGGAATCAAATGTGTTGTTTGGAGCAGGAATATTGTTGTTGGAGCCACTTAGACTAGCGCTTCTGGAGTCTCTTCTTCCTAA